ATTGGAGTCTAAGGTATCGCTAATTGTAAGCAACAGAGCCTTACATTTCTTTGAGGATAAACCGCGACTAATGCATGTCATGAGCCGATTGTTGGCCAAAAACGGGTCACTTGTGGCCACATATCCGTTGACACCGGATCTCATGTCTCGCATAACCGATGAGGAAAAGCGTGCGTTTGGTTTGCAGTCCTTCCGCACGCCATCGCCAGACCTACAGATTGACGATATGGTGCGCGCGTGTGAGGGCACCGGCTTTCAAGTGCTGGACAAACAATTGTATCTCTACGAATGGCACCTTGATGCTAAAATATTTCTCGCTAGTATGTTAAATGATACACTTATATATTTATTTATAATTAACATATAGTAAATATTAAGAATATATTATTAGTAATACCATTACATTATAAATTATTGTAAATATTATTTTTATATCTTATTATGTTGTATATTTATATAACAGTGTTAATATACAGTGTTATTTAATTGAGCATGTTTTATTAATATAATCACTTCAATAATTACTCGATAACTTACATCCAGGGAAACAATTTCCGCAGATATTTGTGCCGTTAATCTCATCGGAAGATAATCCGGAGAAACAGGCGTTAATCCAAAACCTGATGTTTGATGTGGCGCTCAATCCAAACGCCCGGCGCCTCAATCCAGACGCCATCGCAGAGCTCGGCTCTCCTCCAACCTTTCAAACTGTGTTTCACATTCCCTTGGTCAATTTGAAATGCAGTAAATTGTAATTAATTGACTCACAATTCAGTTGTCAATATTAAAAATGAATTTATCTAGATTAGATGTTACCTAAAATTGGTATTTCTTAGAATTAGTAAACTAGATAATATTACCTCGTTTTATCTGTTATTTATGTGTTATAAATTATTTACTATCAATTGAAAAATTAATTACAATGTAATTTACCAATTTAAGTTATAATAAATATTTAAACAAGTTATTTTACGGTATATAATTTAGATTAGAATAAATCATATTATTGTATTGATAATGATTTAATAAAGTTAGTATAAGCATAGAAAAATATAAAGTTGAATTTATATAAATTTGTATTTTTGCGCAAAATGAGTCAAAAACTAGTTTTATAAATAATTACAATAAAACTTTATAAACGATTAATAATTATTCTAATTGTACATTTATTTTATAAATTAAAATACTTATAAGTTTAAATACAATTACTCGCATAATAAATATGTTTGCAATAATATTTTGAAATAAATAACCATGATCAAATTCTGAGATGTTCCTCGAGTTTAACTAAATCACAGCTCAATTCCCACAAACTTTTGGCAGTTTTATCGTCATTGGCTTCGGGTATCATATAATCCACACGACGACAGTTGCTATGAAAATACATGAATACAACATTAAATTACATATAATTAATAAACAATTCTAACACAAATTACTCGTAATAATATCCCGTCTGATCTGCGAGTTCATCGTCGAGAACGCAGTAGAGTGTAGTCTGAGAGCCCATCAATGGTGTCATTAAAAGGTTGCGTTTATACCACCTCTTTATGGCGGCCCCCACCCCCTCCCCGGTGTCAGAATTTTCAATGTGTCGGACAAAGTCAGTATCGATTGCACCGGGATGTAGACTATATGTGTTTATATTAGAGTGTCGGAGCCTTTTGGCCAATTCACGGCTGAACAACACATTTGCGAGTTTGCTCTGTCCGTACGAAAAAGCTTTATCGTATATACCGTTTCGGAGATTTATATTATCAAGGTGAATTTTCCCGATAATATGTGCGGCCGACGACACGGTCACTATACGACCCGCCGGTGCTTTCTTTAACAATGGTATTAAATGTAGAGTAAATAGAAAATGACCTGAAAATTACAAAATTTGTAATATTAATTGTCATATAATTGTATTTAAGTAAACTTAAACGAATCTCATAATCTCATACTTTAACACCTTATTCAGCCACCATTGAGGGGCAGGGATTGGGTATTTGATTAAAATGGTAAGTTTGAGGGTTCATATAGACTACATTTATCATTCTTAAAATATATATTTAAAGTACCTAGGTGATTAGTGCCAAACTGCATTTCAAACCCATCCTCTGTCTGCCACTCCGGAGTCCAGCCAACGCCGGCGTTATTGATAAGTATATCCACTTTTGTCTCCAAACCCGACAACTCTTCCACACATTTGCGGACAGATTTGAGTGAAGACAAGTCCAGCGAAAGTAGTTTTATGTTTGCTTTTGGATTCAATGATAGGATGTCTTTGACGGCCGCTTCACCTCTTTTCTGGTCCCGACACCCGATGTATACCTAATTTTTATATATAAATAACACATGGTAGAACTAATTAAATAACAAAAGTAAAATACACGTACAGTATATAAGTAGCAATAAATAAACTTGTAAGTATTAAATAAGCTAAATATAATTATTAAAATGTCATTAATCCGAAATATTATTACTTTCAAATAAAGATATATACCTTTGCATCCCTCAGTGTTAACTGATATGCAGTCTCTTTACCGATACCAGTGTTACCGCCGGTCACCACAACTACCTGTCCATTAAGTTTCTTATTACTGGTCACTCGTCGGCGCCAACCGAAGAAATTACTGCCAAATTCATAAATAGCAACAAATAACATATGCCAAATGTGTTTTAATTTTAAATGGTAGAGTATTGACATTTTTAGTTAAATTAATTATTACTTGTTTGCAATTAACTATAAAATACAGTGAAATAAATGATGTTATATTTTCTACTTTATATACTGTATTGAATGCCATAATAACCGCCTATTTATGCACTCAAGTGAAGGTCGAATACACTCTAACTGTATAACTAACTTAATATGTCATATAATTCATACCGGTATAGTTTGTTATATATCTGATTAATAAAGTCCAACTGTACTAAATTTAACATTTAGCTACAAGCAAACACAAAATAAACAAGTTTATTTGTGAACAATAAAGCAACCAATAAATAAGTCATTTAATATGCAGACTAAACAAAAACTATGAATTAGTTAGAGAATCAGAATTTAACTAATGCTTTAAAATGAACAAATTGTTGTAATAGTCATTATTGTGCGCAAAACTATGAAAAATGCTCCACAAATGCTCCAAAACGGTTTGCTTAGTGAACAAGTATTATAAACACTTAACAAGTTTACAGAAAAAAGTTTTTAAAAATGTACATGTATTGTTAAAATTTAGCAAAATTGATTAATTTTAACTTTTTAATTATAAAAATATATCACAAGTTTAATATAAACTACATGTCATTAAAAACAGCATGTTACATGTAAATAAACAAAACTAAAATATATCAATTTTAATTCCAATATGATCACGCGTGTTTTTACTAGAATTTCCTTTTTATTAAGTTTTTGTTAATGCAATATTATTTAGCGCATATTTTATCCCATAGGCTAGCATCTTCTAATATAATCAATAGACTAGGAATAAATCATATAAAATATTAATTTTCATAAAAACATTTATTATCCAATTACGAGATTAATACATTTAAATCAAATAATTTATTTTTAATTGGGTTTATCACAACGTTTCCAGATTACACCAACATGATCGATTTAAAATAAATAACAATAATTAAATTCTGAGATGTTTCTCGAGCTTAACTAAATCGCAACTCAATTCCCACAGACTTTTGGCAGTCTTGTCATCAGTAGCTTCGGGTACCATATAATCCACGCGAAGACAATTGCTATACATATATGAATACAACATTTAATTTACTTATTATTAATAAACAATTTTAACACAAATTACTCGTAATAATATCCCGTCTGATCTGCAAATTCATCGTCGAGAGCGCAGTAGAGTGTGGTCTGAGATCCCATCAATGGTGTCATTAAAAAGTTATGTTTAAACCACCTCTTTATGGCGGCCCCAACCCCCTCCTGGGTGTCAGATTGGCCCATGTGTCTTTGAAGGTCAGTAGCAATGGCCCCGGGATTTAGTGAATATGTGTTTATATTTGAGTGGCGGAGCCTTTTGGCCAATTCACGGCTAAACAACACATTCGCGAGTTTGCTCTGAGTGTATGCAAAAATAGGATGATATACACCGTTCCTAAGGTTTATATTATCAAGATGGATTTGACCCCTGTTGTGTCCACCAGCCGCAACTGTCACTATACGACCCGCCGGTGCTTTCTTTATCAATGGTATCAAATGGAGTGTAAATAGAAAATGACCTGAAAATTATAGATTTATAATATATTTAAAACGAATATGGCCAGAAAGTTATATAACTATACAACAATTGACATACTTTTTATTATTTAACAATAAAAATATAACATACCTAGGTGATTAGTTCCAAATTGCATCTCAAACCCATCCTCTGTCTGCCACTCCGGACAACCGGCAATTCCGGCGTTATTGATAAGTATATCGACTTTTGTCTCCAAACCCGACAACTCTTCCACACATTTGCGGACAGATGTGAGTGAAGACAAGTCCAGCGAAAGTAGTTTTATGTTTGCCTTTGGATTCAATGATAGGATGTCTTCGACGGCCGCTTCGCCTCTCTTCTGGTCCCGACACCCGATGTATACCTTATTTATAAAACCAAACAATGTATTGATACATAAAATAAATTTACTTGGACAATACATACTGCATGAGATAATAAAATTATGTAAGATAAATACAATAAACAAAATGTATTATTATGTTAAGCACATACCTTTGCATCCCTGAGCGTTAGTTGATATGCAGTCTCTTTACCAATACCGGTGTTACCGCCGGTCACCACAACTATCTGTCCATTAAGTTTCTTATTGCTGGTCACCCGTCGGCGCCAACCCATAAAATTAGTGCCGAATTCAGAAAACAACACATAAAACATACGCCAAATGTATTTTAATTTTAAATGGTATAGAATTGACATTGTTATTTATAATAATTTAACTTGTTTATTATGTGAGAATAATGAACAATGAAATAAATCAATGGTATGTTTCTTCCTTAATATACTTTTATATACAATTATAATGACCGCCCATTTTTGCACTTCAAGTGAAGGTTGTATAAATAATAATAGTAGATACCAATAATAAATTATCATTTTTAGTAAATTGTATATCTGTATACTTATGAAGCACTAAATAATAGGGATACGAGGTATAGAAACAAATTTTCAATACAATACTTTATGTTATTTGTTATATTTTTTTATATATCTCATATATTAATAGCTTTCAGATAAAATAGTAAATTGGTTTAATACTTTAATTGTACGTATAAATAAATTACACAATAATATCGCGATAATAATTTTAATATATAATAATTGCAATTACCATATTATATCAATTAATTTTAAAGTTAAATAAATTTTATTTATTTAAATAATAAAAGTAAATATAAAGTAAACATTTACACATGATAAATAACCAATGCTAAAAATATAATAAATGTCTCTTTAGTTTAGTTTACATTAACGTGCAATTTACTTTTATTTTTAAAATTTTAATACAACAATCAGGTAATTCAATAGTTTAATTGTAATGAATAAACTGTATATTTAAGAATAAATGACAATGATTAAATCCGGAGATGATCCTCGAGTTTAACCAAATCACAACTCAATACCCAAAGACTTTTAGCAGTTCTATCGTCATTGGCTTCGGGTATCATATGATCCACACGACGACAGTTGCTATAAATACATAGTTAAAACATTTAATTAAATTATACTTTTATAAATCAAATGTGTAATTAGTAATAATAATTACTTGTAATAATATCCGGTCTCATCAGCGATCTCGTCTTCGAGAGCGCAGTAGAGTGTAGTCTGAGAGCCCATCAATGGTGTCAGTAAAAGATTATGGTTAAACCACCCCATAATGGCGGCCCTCACCCCCTCCTTAGACGTGGATTTATCCATATGTCGGTTGAATTCAGTATGAATTGAACCAGGGTGAACGCAATATGTGTTGATGTTTGAATGGCGTAGCCTTTTGGCCAATTCGCGGCTGAACAACACATTTGCGAGTTTGCTCTGTCCGTACGCTAAAATATTATTGTATTCGCCGTTTCGCAGATTTATATTATCAAGGTGAATTTTGCCAAAATTATGTCCCTCCGACGACACGTTCACTATACGACCCGCCGGTGCTTTCTTTAGCAATGGTATCAAATGAAGTGTAAATAAGAAATGACCTGAAAATTATAGAATTTTGCAAAGTTAATTGTTATATTTATAAAATATTATTTTTTAAATAAATTCAAAATAATGTATATTGTTTGTAATAATGTTTAAATCAGTTATTTAAATATACCTAGGTGATTAGTGCCAATTTGCATCTCAAAACCGTCCTCTGTCTGCGACTCCGGACACCCGCCGAGTCCGGCGTTATTGATAAGTATATCGACTTTTGTCTCCAAACCCGACAACTCTTCCGCACATTTGCGGACAGATGTGAGTGAAGACAAGTCCAGCGAAAGTAGTTTTATATTTGCCTTTGGATTCAATGATAGGATGTCTTTGACGGCCGCTTCGCCTTTCTTCTGGTCCCGACACCCGATGTATACCTTATTTTTATAAACACATGGTTAAACTTATTATCTAACCTTTCATTAAAACTTGCACGCGCGGTTTTTTGAATTACTCCTAAACGGAATGAGCTAGATCAAATCTGTAAACTGTAAAATGATTGTCTACATATCTAGTATTTTTTGACAAAAATTATTTGAAATCACGTGATCAGAACATAAAAATCTTTGGGTCATTTCGAAATGGCATAGTTTTAGCCCAGTTAAAAGGGGGGTCGGAGGGGGGCGGGTATGCTATCTTGTAGAGGGCATGGCAAAGTATATGATAGCAAAGTTTCATAAACATCGAGTAAATAGTCTTTCGTAATGAACAATATATTTAAGAAATTTGACACAATATTTGGACAAAAATAGCCCAATTTTGACCTTTTTATACTATATTTTGGTAGTTATAAAAATACTATTTTAGAACAACTTTTCCCCATAGACCTAATGTTAATAAAATTATCAATTTCTCGTAGATGGCTGAACTAATCTTAATCAAATTTTGCTATCATATACGTTGACATGTCCTCTACCAGATAGCATATCCGCCCCCCTCCGACCCCCCTTTTAACTGGGCTAAAACTATGCCATTTCGAAATGACCCAAAAATTTTTATGTTCTGATCACGTGATTTCAAATAATTTTTGTCAAAAAATACTAGATATGTGGACCATCATTTTACAGTTTACAGATTTGATCTAGCTCATTCCATTTATGAGTAATTCAAAAAACCGCGCGTGCAAGTTTTAATGAAGGGTTAGATAACACAGTTTAATTAGCTGAACATAATAAACAACATGTTTTACAAACATAATATATATTTTTTGTTGGAAAATAATATCATGTTAATGTACATACCGTTGCATCCCTTAGCGTTAGCTGATGTGCAGTCGCTTTACCGATACCAGTGTTGGCGCCGGTAATCACAACTACCTGACCATTAAGGTTCTTATCACTGGTCACACGTCGGCGCCAATCAAAGTAATTAGTAGTAAATTCATAAATCAATATCAATGCCATTCGCCACATATATTTGGCTATATCTAAATATTTTTGAATTGCCATAGTCGATATTTCAATTAATTGTCACTTTCTTTGTAATATAAGTATCAAATAATGAACAATGAAATAAAATAGGAAAATGTTTATTCTTTATATACTGCACATAAAGTTATATTATGCGCCTATTTATGCAATTAAAGTGAAGGTTGCGTATACTTTAACTGAATAGATGACTGACGTATCACTTAAAGTCCTAATGCACTATCACTAACCAGAAAAATGAACATGTACACAAATAATAATACACTGTCGCCCTCTATGAGAATCAGCCAATCGTAGTAACAGTTTGTGTCACAACATATTCTTTTCACTCCACATTTTTACCCCTTTAGGAACTTGTCTTATAAATATGAAAATATGATATACAATAAAAATAATGATTTAAGAATGTAAAATAAAAACTTAATTATTAATTAACTTATGTAAAAATTTTAATTTATGTATTTTTTACTTATTAATTATTTTATTTTCAAAATTTGAAAACATTAAAATTGCAATTTCTAAAATTTTGAATCTAAATTAGCTATTTATAAACTTTTTCTATTCTATTTGCATCACACGAGTTATGGTTAAGCAATAGGCTATTGTTAACCTTAGTATGACTTGGAGTGTCCCCGTCGAGACATTTGATTTTAAAATAGCTGGCTAAAATCAGTTTTATAAGTCAGGGCTAAAAAATTTCAGCTATTCCTCAATCAAACATTTGAGAATATT